CTCTGTCCAAGGTCATAAAGCTCCTATCTTGCTATTGTTCAGTTGTTTGTGCCAGGTGATTTCTCCACTATTTAGTTGTAATTCCAGATTGGTCCTGGGGACAGGTCAGTGTGACTTCCATTCAGTCCTCTGCCATCTTGAAGTCCCTTTATTGCCATTTTAGTGTTCATAGTTTTGATCTTCTTTTTCTTATATAATTTCCTTTAACATTTCATATAATAATGGCGTGGTGATGATGACCTGCTTTAGTTTTATCTTGTCTGGGGTGTACTTTATCTGCCCTTCAATTCCAAATGATACCTAGAGCTGGATAAAGTAATCTAGGTTGTAGATCCTTGCTTTTCATCACCTTGAATACTTCTTTCCAGTCCCTTCTAGCCTGCAAAGATTCTTTTCGGAAATCAGCTGACAGCCTTATGGGAACTCCTTTGTAGGTAATTGCTTTTCTCTTGCTGCTTTTAAGATTCTCTCTTTGTCTTTAACCTTTGGCATTTTAATTATAATGTGTCTTGGTGCAGGCCTCTTTGGATCCATCTTGTTTGGGACTCTCTGTGCTTTCCGAACTTGTATGTCTTCATCAAATTAGGGAAGTTTTCTTTCATCATTTTTTTCAAATAAGTTTTCAATTTCTTGCTCTTCTTCTTCTGGCACACCTGTGATTTGGATGTTGGTACATTTGGAGATGTCCCAGAGGCTTCTTACCCTATCCTTGTTTTGTTTTGGTTTTTTATCCTTTTTTTCTTCTTGCTGTGTTGATTGATTTTTTTTTTTAATTCCATATGTTCCAAGTCATTTATTTGATTCTTAGCTTCATCCCCTCCACTGTTGGTTCCCTGTAGTTTTTTTTCTTTATTTCACTTAATGTAACCTTCATTTTTCTGCCTGGGTCTTTTTTTTTTTTTTTGCTGTGGAAGTACCCAGTGAGTTCCTGGAGCATCCTGATAACCAGTGTTTTGAATTGTAAATCTGATAGGTTGCTTATCTCCATTTTGTTTAGTTCTTTTTCTGGAGTTTTGTTCTGTTCTTTAATTTGGACCATATTTCTTTGTCTCCTCATTTTGGCAGCCTCCCTGTATTTGTTTCTATATATTAGTACAGCTGCTTTGACTCCTTAGCTTAGTAGTGTGGCCTTTTGTAGAAGAAAGCATTTGTAAGTTGTATCGGGTGGACAGAACCTAAGGTAATCGCCAGGTAATCGCAGAGCAACCTATGTCTCTGCTCTATGGCTCTGTGTAGGGGAGGGCTTACAGATGCGACAAAACTGTTGTCTGGCCTCAGGAGTTTTGTCTGGACGAAAGCTGTCTTCTGGTAGTTTTCCCTGATGCCAGTTACTTCACTTCGCCCCTCTTTGCCAGTAATGCCCTTCCAGCTGTTGCTGTGGTGCTGAATCCCAGAGGCAGTGGATCTTCATAAGTCTTAAGTCCACTGTGGGCCCTGTAAGAGGAGTCTCCTGTGAGTCCTGCGGTTTCTTCCACCACCCCAACACCCACTGTTTTTTACAGCCAGAATTTATGGGGACTTAATCCTGGGGCTGGAACCCAGGGTTGGGTGGTCTGGTCTGTGTCTGGGATCCCTCACTCCTAAGGTATGTCTCTTGATTTTTATCCACCACACATGGAAGTGAGACTGCCTGTTCAGTGACTCTGCACCTCTTCGTGCCTCTCCACACCTCTCTGTGTGTCTCTGTGTCTCTGCATTTCTGTACCTCCTACCCTTCTGGATGAATGTAGCTTCTTTAAATCCTTGGTTGTCAGACTTCATACAGCTGAATTTTCTGACATTTCTGGTTGATATTTGTTTTGTAGTCTAGTTGTAACTTTTTCTGTGGTTGTATGAAGAGGCAAGGCATGTTTACTTATGCCTCCATCTTGATCAGAAGTCTAGGGCCTCTTTTATAAGGGCATTAATCCTATTCATGAAGACTTCATTCTCATGACTTAATGACCTCCTGAAGCCCCCATCTCCTAATACCATGCCATTGGGGATTAGGTTTCAACATACGAATTTTGGGTGAGGGGGACACAAACATTCAGTCTATAGCAATTCCCAAAGGGAATTAGGTCAAATTACTTGAATTACTGTGTCAAGGGGCAGGAAACCTTTAAAATCTCTCTCACCTTTTAAAGTCTCTTAATTGGTTTCATCATTTGGCTCTCCAGAAAGCTTCTGCCACCTTGATTAACTTTAGCTTTGATAACAGAACCTCTCCTTTGCTGGTTCTGTTTGCTTATGAGCAACAAATGAGTTTAAAGATAAGAATTTAAAGATAAAAGGTCAGAAAAGGCTCAGGGATCAGGTGGATCTTGAACTGAGCTTGAGCGACCCATAGGGTTCAATAAACTGAGGCAAAAAACTCTGCCATCAGAAGCACAGCAGAAACAAAGAGACAGTTCATTGAATGAACACAATGAATACAGCATATTGTGGAGACGGTTATAATCTAATTTTCCTTGGGTGGATAGTTGCTTCATAGGAATAGTGGGATATAAATTGATAAAAGGAATAACAACTGAGACTGAACTTAATCAGGTAGGTAATGGGGAGTTGTTGGCAGTTTTAAGCAGGGGAAGATATGAGCAAATCATTATTTTGATGATTGTAGAAGACTTTGGGAAACTAGAAACATTTTTAACAGTCCCATAATATTTTTTTAAATGGTCATCTGTTTTAAAAATTACACATCATATAAATGTCCTAGGACTGATTTGCTTGTTCTAATGCTTAGCATATGACTGTGGTATGACTTGTCATGCCACAAATGGCCCATCAGCCATGTTTGGGTGTCCCAGGCTCTGAGATTCAGTGTGCTTGGAGATAATAGTGGCTGGATCCAAAATGGTGGTAAAAGCTATGTCACATGGAGGAAATCTCAGTGTTCATGAATTGAAGGTCAGTTACCTCTGGGACAGAGATGTCCAGACATCTAGGCTGTCAGAGACATGTGGAAAGGAAAGGTGAGGTGAGAGCTGTAGGAAGGGCTCTCTTTCCCCTATAGCCATTTTGATCCTCTCTTTAGTTGTTACACATGTGTTTACAACAAATCCTGATAAGAAGTGACTTTGCCCCAAACATTTCCTAGAAAATAAAAATTTCATCTCTTTCAATAGCATTTTTGCTGTTTTTGAAGAAATGTATATTGAAAATTTTGGTTTCCAGTGTGAAAGATAAGTGAAATGTGATTGCTGCTGTTTACATCATTGCATTTTCTCCCTTTTTAAAGATAAACTAGAAATTCTCAATCAGTGCAAAATGGTGAGAGATATTTCAGGCATTCTTCAATTAGCATACCATAATATATTTTATATTAAATAAAATGCCTTCTAAGACATATACACTTTTAAAATTCATCTATATCTCACCATACCTCAAATAGCACAATGCTTATTTGTGAAAAATTAAGACTCAGACTCAAATTTCAGAGTGTATGAAGATTGGCTGCAAGGAGGAATGAGGTAGCCTGCACAGAATTGATAGGCCCTAAGGAGATAGTTGTTTTTCTTGAGATACATTGTCAGAAGGCACATTAATCATGGCAAAATATTATAATCATTCAAAATAATTGATGGCATTAACGTAGAATAACTACCAAAAAGAGCTTTTGTGAAGAGTATAGCTGACTCTAAAGAGTATATTTTTGAAAAGGATAATGTTATTTAGCTAGGATAGAGTAAAAAGGGCATTACCAGTTTGCTGGGGCTTAACCTGTCCTCAGTGGGAGCTTTGTGACATCTAACTTTGTCTATTACGGGCAAGGCAGGCTTCATGAATGTGTGAAGAGTCTAGTGTTTAGTTTGATGTTCTCCTGTCTCCATCTTGAATTTCCTAATATATTTCAAACAAGAGCCTCCAGGTTTTTATTTTACACTGGGCGCCGCAAATTATGTAACTGATCCTGATTATAAAAGCTGGTTTTACCTTCCTTTACCATATGTTATGGGCTAAAACTTGGTTTTCCTAGCTATGGACTAGGTGAAGAGTAAGGGCTACTGTAAGCCAGTGGAGATTCTGGCCACCTTCTCTTATTTCCTCAGGAGGCCAAACTGAGTACAGTAGGGAAAGGTTGGGAGCACAGAGTTTAGGAGCAGGCTGGGGCTTCTGACAGCTAGAGTTCCTCCATTAAGAACAGCAGCTGCTACTCCTCTTGCTGTGCCCACCATCATGTCAGGGAGCTAGAATTTGCCAGGCTCTGGCTAAGTGCTCCATGTGCATTATTTCCCTTTTCTTAATCCTCTCAACATCCTGCAAAATGAGTATTATTTTTATAATAAAGAGTCTGAAGTTTCCAGTAATTAAGTCACACAGTTACAGAGCTAGCAATGATCTTTTCTCGTTAACTGTCCTCTCTACTCAAGAAGTGACCAACTATCCTTGTCTGTTAGTAAAACTGAAGTTGAGCCCTGGCTGGCATGGCTCAGTGGATTGGATGCAGGCCTAGGAACCAAGGGTCGGCTGTTCAATTCCCAGTTAGGGCACATGCATGGGTTGTGGGCCAGGTCCCAAGGAGGGGGCATATGAGGGGCATCCACACATTGATGTTTCTGTCCTTCTCTCCCCCTCCCTTCCCCTCTCTCTAAAAATAAAATCTTTTTTAAAAACCAACTTGAATCATTTACTTGTCTACTCGAAAAGACTCATGCTTACATTGTTTATTTAGAAACTTTTGGGTATAAATGTCTCCTTTTTCTCCATGGATGATGATATCTGGACAGTATGCTAATACTGGAAGTTTTTTTCCAAGGAGAAATGGGTATACCCTCTGTATTTTCTCAGAAAACTGTGTCACTAGTGTTACGTATTTTTTAAACCTCAGTTGAAATGACATTTTGTTTCTTGGTTATTTCTCTTGTAACTGTTTTCCTAGCTGTTGTGTGTGATTGCATTCTGCTATGATTTTAAAAGGGTATCCATGTATTCTATTTTAATTTTACATCGAAATCAAGTTTTTCAAAAATTTGTAAATAAATTCTATTCTGGACTAATCCCAATTATGTCTTCTGCAGGAAAACATCTCTGGCAACTGATGTGCCCAGGCTTGGATATAGTTATTCACCCAATCACAAGTACATTCCCCGGAGGGCAGTGCTCTATGTACCTGGAAATGATGAAAAGAAAATAAAGAAGATTCCATCTCTGAATGTAGATTGTGCCGTGCTGGACTGTGAGGATGGTGTGGCTATGAACAAAAAGGTAATGAGATAATTTTTTCTTAGGATGGGAAAAAGAAAAGGATTGAAATTTGGTGCTCTCCTGGTAGCATTTGTTCACTATTTGGAAAGATTCTACTGTTCTTCTCTTTTGCTGATTACTAACCTATTCTTGATTCAGTCCTTGTATGGTTTCTGAATGTGTATTTCTTTTTTCTCCAAGAAAAAGGGAGAATCCAACCAAATGTATTGAAAGTCATGACCTTCAGCACATGTGACTATGTGTGTGTATAATAAAGAAATAGTCATAATCCATTTTGCCTGTGATATTTGCTAATTTGGATAAGTGACTTAATCCTAGAAATGTAGTGTAAATTTTTCAGGCCATTAAGAAGCAATAAGGAATTTATTTCTTCTTTTTACTGCCAGGTATATTAAGTAGTGGCCTTATCTCTTCTGAGACAAGTGCCAAGAAAATAAAAGATAGTTTTCTATAGATAAGTCATCATTTTTTCCTACTTAATTAAAGGGGAACTGGGCATAGATCTTCAAGGTTGCAGCCTTTGGCTGATTTTCTCATGGCTTGACCAGAAAAATTAGACTTAGAAAATATCCAATTGTAAACAAGTACATAAGTTTCCTAGCATAGTGGATGCTTTTGATTCATTTTGGCTTGTTTAACTTCATTTTCCAGGTTTTTATAATGAACATGAATTTTTCCAATAATTAGGTGAAATATATAAATCATTATAACAATAACTAATGTTTGCATGGGACCTTTTTAGTTAAAAAGATGCTTTCACTTGACCTTTTATCTATGCAGTCCCTAGACAGTGAGGTTGGGCTGGAAATGGATTGTGGGGCTAGGGGAAGGAGGGACCATCTCTATTAATGCTTATTTCATAGTTTCTTGTCCTAGGTGAATATTCTGGATGTACTATACAACTCTCTTGATTAATTGCTTTCCTTGGAGATTCTAGCAAACAAATATTTGCTTTAGTTAATTTCTAGCATCTTCCTAATGGTCAAACAAAGGCTTTCTAAGTATTTGGAAAAGTATTAAAATAAGCACGTGGAATCTAAAGTGTTTATTCAAGGTCTTTGGCGTGCACTAAGGAAAATACAACTAATCTTTTTCCCAGAGATTAAGATAAATCAGCCTTTTCTTGAAGGCTATAATGTAATTCTAGTATGCTTGCTTCCAAAACGCATATCATGCACTCTAAGATTAGATGCTAAATTGTAATCCCAGTTCTCTGTGACCCAGGGCAACTCACTTTACTTCTTTGTCTCAATTTTTTTTCCTGTGCTCTGGGATGACAAAAATCTTTTGTCAGGGACAGGAATTATTAGAAGGAAAAAATTTGATACAGTGCCTGTTAGTATCTTGATTTCCTATAGGAAATAGAGCAGTTAAATCCTGTAATAGTTACAATTAGAGAGGAATTTATTTTAGAATAACACAGTGAGCCATTGGGTGCCCTGATAAACTTCTAATTATCTTTCTTTACAAACCTTGAGTCTCTCTTCCAATACCCACCTGAGACTGTTTCCTGCCATTCAAATGAGTTGGAAATATGGTCTGTTATTGCCTTACATTTCCTTCCTATTCATCTGTGTTCATCAGCTCATTCTTGTACCCAGAGCCACTTCTTAGGAGGAACCTAAGGAGGGGAAGGAGAGAGAAGAGTTTATGATGGGCAATGTGCCCGCCATCTTGGCATCTGTGTCTTCATCAGGACACTCCAGTTCTATAACCTAATACAGTTAAACTTTGCATTAATTGCTAGACACACTGTTTCATGCATGCTGAGCATTTTTAAAATTTATTTATTTACTTTTAGAGAAGGGGAAGGGAGGAAGAAAGAGGGGGAGAGAAACATGGATTGGCTGCCTCCCACACACCCCGAGCTGGCAATCTGGCCTGCAACCCAGCCATGTGCCCTGCCCAGGGAGTGAACCAGCATCCTTTTGGTTTGAAGGATGGCATTCAATCCACTGAGCCACACCAGCCAGGAGAGGAGCTTTTAGTCAACTAAAGTTAGTTATAATAGTCAACTGAGGTGCTATTATACTCCTCCTACAGATAAGGAAACTAAGGCATGGAAAGGTCAAGTTCATGAATCAGTACTTTGAATATAGTTGTTCAGTCACACAACTCTCCTAAAATTCGGTCTTTTCACAAGGATATTGTAAGATATTTTTATCTAGTGCCATTTCAAAATGAACATATCTTCCCTATCTGCTGGTCTAGAAATACCTTCTCCCCCCACACTTCTGCCTTGCCAGAAAAATGAGGTTAGGTTGATGAGAGTTGATCTTGAAAAACACATATCAGTACCTAGTTGTTACCGCACTCTTTTTGTGGAGACACAAAAATGGTAATAAAGCACAATTTACTGAGAGTTTTCTGTGTAAGTGGTGCTATAGTAAATGCTTTATGTATCTTATTTCATGGACTCTTTACAGCAAATTTTTGAAATATGTCCAAGGTCACAGAGCCATTCAATGGCAGAACCAATATTTGTATCTCTTAGAATTTTTTCCAGTAATCAGCCTCAGGCTCACCTGTTGGCATATTCCATAGTTAACATTTTTCCCCTTTCTTGGAAAGTTAGTTCCTTGACTTCTCTCTCTCTTTTGTTACCATTGTGTACCCCATGGTTTTTCAAAGATTATGACAAGAGTTCTGTGTTCATATCTGCAAAATCTTTCAGTATTCTGGGATTGTAATCCATTTAGAACTAGGGGCTTCAATTCATTTGCAATGTTCAGATAAGTCTGTCACGTCTCACAGATTGCATTCTTTTTTTGACATTTCATTCATTTTGTCTTTATTTGTATTCATATTCCTTTTTCTTTCTTGAAGTCACCTCTTAATCATCTTTCTTTTTTTAAAAAAATTTATTTGGTTTTAGAGAGGGGGCAGGAGGGAGAAAGAGAGAGAACATTGATATGAGAGATAATTATCGATCAGTTGCCTACTGTACTGAACCTGCAACTCAGATACGCGCCCCAACCAGGAATCGAACTGGCAACCCTTTGGTTTTGGGGGGTGATACCCAACCAACTGAGCCACACCAGTCAGGGCTAAACACTCAACATTTAAATAAGTACTGAGTACCTATACAACCAGGCGTCATGGTAGCAGGAGGGGAACAAAGATGGTTGCATGGTCTCTGACCTGGATGAGTCAAAAGCTGGTGGTGAGACGGAAAAAAAGGTAAATAACTATAACCTAACAAGACAGGTCTATAAGAATGCATACTTTTACTATCATTTGGTTCTAAGAATTTTTAAATTTCCATTTTGATCTTTTGCTTGAGCCATGAAAATACATAAGAGTACTGCCCAAATTCTCTGTGATGAAAGATCTAGTTTGGTTATTTTTATTTGTTGTTGTTACTTGGTTTTATTTTTAAAACATTTCCAATCTATTGTGGACTTATACTTCGGCAAAATCCAAAAAGAAAATAATTGCTAGAAAATCAAATGCTGGTAGGGTGTTAACAGTTATGTCAAGTGCTATAGAAGTTTCTAAATTCATACTCCCAATTTCTTACTTACCTCCTAGTGGTGTGGTCATTGTCAGAGGTTGTGGACCAAGAGAGGAAGGGAGAGAGGAAGAGAGGGAGAAAAACATCGATGTGCAAGAGAAACATCTATCAGTTGCTTCTTGCATGCCCCCAACCAGGACTTGGACTACAACCCAGGCATGTGCCCTGACCGAGAATCGAACCAGCAACCTTTCCATTTGTGGGATGATGCCCAACTCACTGAGCCCTGCTGGTCAGGGAAACCCACTTACTTTTAATGTAAATACTGATCAATTTAGATTTAAATATACCATTATATTTTTTTGTCCTGTTTTTCTCATCTATTCTGTTTCTTTCTGACTTTTTATTTACTTTTTAAAGATTATTTGACTTTTTCGGTTTATTTTCATCAGTCTATTTTTCCTCTCTTCAAAGTTAGAAGTTGTGACTGTATTTCTTTTTTCTTTTTGTAATCCATCCTCCCTCCCTCCCTCCCTTCCTTCTTGTTCAAATACATTTGTCTCCATTTTCCTGCTACCACTTTCCCCTGCCCCACCCACCTGCACCTTCCTCCCCCAATTCTTCCCCACTTTGGCTTTGTCCATGGGTCCTTTATACATGTTCCTTGACCTGACCCTTCCCCTTCCTGTCCCCATTACTCGCCTCCTTCATTCCTTCTCATTGCTGTCAGTTTCTTTTTTCTTTCAGTGTTGCTGGTTATATTTTCCTTGCTTGTTTGTTTTGTTGATTAGGTTCCACTTATAGCTGAAATCATACGATATTTGACTTTCAACACCTGGCTTATTTCACTTAGCATAATGCTCTCCAGTTCCATCTATGCTGTCACAAAGTGTAGTAGCTCTTTCTTTCTGCTGCATAGTATTCCATTATGTGAATGTACCATAGTTTTTTGATCCACTCATTTACTGATGGGCACTTAGGTTGCTTCCAGCACTTGGTTGTTGTAAATTGTGCTGCTATGAACATTGGGGTTCATAGGTTCTTTTGAATTGATGTTTTGAGATTCTTAGGATATAATCCCAGCAGTGGAATCGCTGGGTCAAAAGACAGTTCCATTTTTAGATTTTTGAGGGTATGACTGTTTTTCTAACTGATAATGGATACTCTTGAAATTTTACCAAGTACACTTAATAAAGCCTGAAATTAACTGTCATCTTCATCCCTGACAAGAATTTTAGAAAACATTAAATCCAATCATCTTCCTCGCAGATGGTTATTATTACCCATATCTCTTTAAACCTATGAATTTTATATTATTACTATCATTATTTAATATATCTAGTAATTATTTAGATTAATTCCCATAGTTTACCACTTTCTCTGCCCGTTTTTTTGTTGTTGTTGTTTTTTGTTTGGTTTTTTTTTTTGCATCTCAGACCTTCTTTCTCAGTTCACCTTTCTTTCTCCTAATGTGCATCCTTCAGAATTTCCCTGTAGCAAAGGTTTGTTGACAGTAAGCTCTCACAGTTGTTGTTTATTTGAAAAT